GAAATAAAAAAGGTCTTCATTTTGACACACCAAAAATCATAGTTCTCATCGTCAAAGACGAGAACATGTGAGACACTTGAATTTGTGTTGTCCATGAGAATTTCTTCAAATGAATTTCCTAGGCTTTTTCTTCAACCTACCAATTTATGTTGGTTATTTCACCCTTTTTTAGTGAAGGAAGAACCAGGAAAAAGCTTAGGAATCAAATCTGAAAAATTCTCTACAAAAACTAAATCTTTGTATAAGAGATAGAAGAGAAATAGACACACAAATCTAATCTGATTTTTGTATTTAACACTCTTGATTCTTCCAGCAGATTACACCAAGCTATATGTAGTTTTTTCAATACCCATTGCAAGATAATTAATTTGCTAACAACTTCCAATAATAATTAAACTTGAGAAACTTAAAAGACAAATATTAAGCCAACATAGAAAATATAAGAAATAGTTGGAAGCATAACATCTCATTAATTAACAATAACACCTCGATTTAAAGCCTTTTCTTTTATTTTTCTTTTTTTTTATTACAATTATGGATGTTCGAGTCAACTTACGCAAATATTAACTAATTTCCTACCTGGACAGATCAAAGACATAATACACGTTGGAACTAAGAAATTCATGATAAATAAATCTCTCATGGTCTGACTCTAAAAAAATTGTCAAGTTTCGAACTCAGATGTCTAAATTTACAACTTCTACCGCCTCATTCCCGGATCTTTCTCCATTGATATATGACCTCTGCTATACTGTCTCCTTCCTCCCTTTTTTCTATGGTCACACCACTATCACCAGCGAGTAAGTTTCGCCAGCCCATATTCCGAGGGTGTGTATGCTGAAGATTTGAAGGTCAGTGTGAAAGAGTGGATAGAACTATTGGACCAAAACAATTTTAGTTGTAAAAATTGAATTTTTGATCGATTTTGAGCATAAATTAAAGGGGAATCAGTTCGTCGTTTCGAGTAAACTTTTGTGAGTTCATGTTTTATTCCATTAAGAGAATAATGTAGTATATTTACTTGCCCAAATCGAGTAAGAAATGAATTAGAAATATGCTTCAAATTGACCCACGTGAATTATGAAAATAGATGTTGTATAATGTGGGATTTGACATCAATCCCACATTGATTGAGAAAGAAATTCTACTTGTACATATATATGACAAATTTGTTTTATGAGTTGAACCCTAAGTGATTATATTTTTGTGAGCAGAGCGAGCATCTACATGGGCTTCAATTCAACCACACGTGCACGTCAACTACCATGCCATGACCCAACTCAGGTGTAGGTATGTCTTAGACTCAATCTTATCAATTTTGGAGAAAATTAGTTTAACGAATTGAGCTCAAATTTCTTAACCCGTAATTTAATTTCTGGTGCCCATTACAATTCAAATTTCGCACCTGTTCAGATTTTAATTTTCTTTCTAGTCCAAAATTTGAAATTTGTGTTTGTTCAATATTAGACAAATTTAAATGGTGTCTTCTAGTTACATGGTGTCTGCTGGATTGAGTCTGTTCATATGGTAAATATCCCGGACAATCACCATTTTTTTCTATAAATAACTCAAATTCATAGTCATTCTACATTAATTACATTACAAATTAATGCAATCAATACATTCATATTTTTGGTATTAAGAACTCTACATTTTCTAAGAGTACAACACACAATTCTAGTTCATTGGGTATTTAGATTGAAGAGCTACTTTTAAGTGCGTAAAGATCATTGTATCATAGAAGACAGATGTTATAATTTCCGTAAGCACTCAGTGCGGGGCACTTACCGGAAAAAAAAATATATGGGGGCAAAATTTGTCTTAAGAGTATAGTGTCAAATACTAGTCTTAATCTATATAAAGTTCAATCACAATTTCTGATTTTCAAACGATAACTGTTTAATTACAGATTCATGCATTACTATTTCATTCTAATTTACATGATACAAATCAAAATTTTCAATACGTAATTTTGTTATATGAAAAACCCAAACAAGAAGAAGTCGTGTCTCACAAAATGAAGCTAAATATTTCATTGTCTAAAATCACTCCTTTTTTTTCACCTTTTATCTTGCTAGAAAATCCATTAACCAAAATCACCCATTTATTCTCACTCCCTACAAACTTTTCACAACATAAAATTTTACTTTTATAGGTCAAATTTAACTGTCAAATAACAGTGAAATTGAAGTCAAAATGAATATTTTACTTTCTACGCTAATAAAATACACTTAATTTGGGCTATAAAGTCAAATATATTTCACTGTCCTGAATATTAAAATGAGTTATTTCACTTTTGAAAGACGTGCACTTTTTTAGCATGTCATTAAATTGTTATTTTTTTAAAAAAAATAAGGATATTTTGTTCAATGAAACTTGATTTTGTTCTGTGCAAGCATTTTACCATTGTCACCCTATGGCCCATGAAAGTTGTAACGTGCCTGATATCTACTGCTATGTCATGGTGATATTATTATGTTATGGTGATATTAATTCTGCTAGAGTGTTGAAGACTTCTTTGGAGACTTTCGAAGTTCTTTCAGGCCTTAAAGCTAATCCACTAAAGAGCAATATCTTTCTTTCTGGGGTCTCTGATGCTCAGCAACTACAAATTGTGGATTGTTTCTGTTTTCCTTTGGGCAACTTACCTATTAGGTACCTGGGTATCCCTATGATCACTACGAAGCTGAGGGTCAATGATTGTGCTGCTTTGGTGGAATCTGTTGAGGCAAGAATTAGATCATGGGCTTCTAGATTCCTTTCTTTTTGCAAGAAGATTACAGCTCATCCACTCAATCCTATCCAATATTCATATCTTCTGGTCTAGTCACTTGATTCTTCCCAAGATTGTCCTTAACAATGTTGAGCAGAAACTAAGGGCCTTTCTTTGGACAGGAGCTGAGCTTAGGACAATTGGAGCTAAAGTTTCATGGAAGGAAGTGTGTCTTCCAAAACAAGAAGGCGGTCTGGGTGTTAAGGATCTTAAGGCTTGGAATAAGGCATTAATGCTCAGAAACCTTTGGCATTTAATTTCTGATGAAAGTAATATTTGGTCTAAATGGGTGAGAGACTATTATCTGAAAGGAAGAAGCATCTGGACTGTCAAGCCCCCTCACATTTGTTCATGGAATTGGAGGAAACTTTTGAAGATAAGGGATTTTGCTAGACCTTTCTTGCTCCACATTATTGGCGATGGGAGAGAAACATCACTATGGTTTGATAATTGGCATCCTACTGGTCCACTAATGCCTAGATGGACTCCCATAATTATGTATGATTCTGGCCTCAATATGAATGCTAAAGTTTGCCATATTATTCATGGTAATCAATGGAGATGGCCCAGGGCTAATGCTAGAAACAACAATGATTTGCTGCAAATTGAGGTATCCATGCCATCCTATTCTCCTAGACCTGATATGAAAGATATTATTAAATGGTTGCTTACCCCCAATGGCTCCTTCTCCTCTTCTTCTGCCTTGGAGGAACTAAGGTATAGACAACCTTTGGTTTCTTGGCATAAGCATCTTTGGTTCAGTCAATGTATTCCAAAGATGAGCTTCATTCTTTGGCTTGCCTTTAGATGCAAACTTTCAACCAAGGATCACATTCATAACTATATGCAAAGTGTGGATTTAAGTTGTGTCTTGTGTAGGGTAGCTCCTGAAACACACTCTCATTTATTCTTTGATTGCTCCTACTCTGAAAGGATCTGGAATTATGTTATGGAGAAATGTCACCAGTCTTGGCAACAATTACCTTGGCAGGATTTTATTATCCAGTTAGCACACATTTGGAAGGGGAAGAGCCTTGCCACTATGATCAAGAAGCTTTGTCTTGCTGCCACAGTATATATGTTATGGAATGAGAGGAATCAAAGGATATTCAGAAACCAACGGAAGGATCATGTGACTGTCCAGCGACTTATCATCAACATTGTTAGGAATAGACTAATATCGTTGAAGTTTAAGGAAAACATAGAGAATCGAAGAATTGCTCAATCATGGCAGCTACCTAGTTCTCTTTTTGTTTATGGTGATGACTCTATGCTAATTACATAGAATAGTTTTTGGTTTAAATCTTTGAAGAATATTGTAAATCTTCAGCATTCTCCCCAGATTTTCCCCTGCTTTTGTTTGTTTTTTAGTTCTTGTCTTGCATGTTTTTGGCAGACAAGAGTTTTTCTTCATTGTATATTCTCATTGGTTATCAATATACTGTTTACTTACCCAAAAAAAAAAAAAACTAATTACAATAGGTGATAGGAGAGTTACTGGACATGCTAATAAAGAGAGCACATTTCAATTTTTAATTACCAATAAATAACATTGATTTTATATACATTCTCCAAACATTTACCTTCTTGTGAAATCAAATAACATTTATGGCCGACTGATTTTATTTTTGCTTCTACCATTAACATCTGAAACTGATTCAAAAACATTCAAAAAATGTAAATATAGGCTCTCTCTTTTTTCATTAATTCTGCATGTAACCAATTCTATTTTGTATCCTAAAAAATTTAAGAATTTTTATTTTATACCTTTAATGATTAAATATTTCACATTTTAATATCAACATATTAAAAATATTACAATGTGACCCTTCCAATAGTTTATGTTATTCATTCAATGATCCATTAACGTGTCCATTGTTATGATATTGAGGTACAATATTAGAAATCTCATTTTTTAACGTATGAAGTGGAAAAACTTAAATCCTTTGGGGTCAATAGTGAGATTCCCCCAAAAATTTAAACTCCAGCAAGCTTTTACATGTGAGGGAAAAAATCTGCCGTTTTACTGCTTTTCTACTTATCCTTCGACAGTTACGGAAACAAATCTCATAAACCATCATTTTATGCTCAATTCATTTCCCCCCCCCCCCCTTCTCTCTCTCTCTACATATATATACCTATATATATGTGTATATATAGTGTATGGACAAGTATAGAACCCATGCAGAGAGAGAAACTGTGATCTCATTTGAAATAGTTACCAGAGATGGGGTTATGGGTACAGTACTGCAGTTTCTCTGTGCTGCTCATTGCTGTATTTCAAGTTGTGAATGCACAAAACTGCGATTTCTACAACGGGAATTGGGTTGCTGATGGATCTTACCCTCTCTACGACCCCGCAGCCTGTCCGTTTATCGAACGCGAGTTCAGCTGCCAGAAGAATGGCCGTCCGGACAAGATGTACCTCCAATACCGGTGGCAGCCCCAGGGATGCGAATTGCCACGGTACTGTCTTCTCCCCTTAATTTTGCTAATCTTTCTTATTTAAAATTGCACTCTGTTTTTCATCAGGTAGATTATTGGTCGATCCATGTGCCTATGTCAGGTCATGTTAAAATTTATTTAGTTAGGTATGACTTTTCATAATTTAAGCAAAATCATATAAAAAAAATTGTCAATATAAATTTTAATTTATAGCTTTTTTACCAGTCTAATAACTAATAATATCTAGTTTGTCTATTGTGCATTGAGAAATCTTCTCTTCTTTTTTCACATAGCCTATCTCTTTGAACCCCCCCCCCCCCCACACAAAAAAAAGAAGGCTGCAAGATACAAGATACTTTTGTGAAAAAAACGTGTTTACTTTTAACACTTTTCATTTATAAACACTACAACTAAATATTGTTACAACTATAAACACTTTAACGATTTTAGTAAACACGTTTTTTTAGAAAAATATATTTAGTAAACACGTTTTTCATGTCCTCTATATATAATTACTGTACCTATGGACCATATGTTTTATTTAAAAGTGGGTTTATTGATTTTGTTTTTAATAAAAGTGAGCTTGCTGTTTTGACTTTAAAATATATCGTAATCATATAAATAAGTTCAAAAATATCGTATTTTAATATATTATTTTAAAAAGATCATAGATCAATAAATAACTCTTTCAAATTGCCTCTCTTTGTCTCCCCAAAAAAAAACACCAAAAGGCTGCAAGATACAGCCTTCCGCCATGTTCTGAACATTATTGTCTAAACGTGGGAAACCATTCAATGACGTTGAAACTTTTTGGTTTGTTTCATTGTAGGTTCGATGCTAAAGGATTCTTGCAGAAGCTCAAAGGGAAAAGTGTAATGTTTGTAGGAGATTCCCTTAGCCGAAACCAGTTTCATTCCCTAGTGTGCCTGATTTATACAGCAATGCCCAACATCAAATACAACCAAATAACACAAGCCAATGTCTCCACATTCGAAATCCCGGTACCACATGATACTAGCTAGTATCTTATCGTGTTAAAATTTTATATGTATATGTGGTAGTTATTATATTATGTTAGATATCTATATATATGATAGTGTAACGATTTACTGTGTCCACAAGCTAGTTTGTACCAGTTGACAATAACTCTGTCGTGGTATTTCTTTTCTGATGAATATTTACTCCCATTTTACGCTCTGCCTTGTATATGTATATGTGCTAGTTTGTTCCTTGTATCATATGGTCGAGTTGTACTGCTTCTTATTTGCATATTCATTTCACCTAGGTATTTATAATATGCAGGAATTTGGAGTTAAAGTAATGTGCCAACACAATCTGTTCTTGGTGGATGTTGTAAATGAAAAAATGGGCAGTCTTAAAACTACATTCAATTGAAAGTGGGGAGCTATGGAAGCAGATTGACATGCTCATCTTCAACACATGGCATTGGTGGTATCGACGAGCACCGGGACAACCGTTCGTTCTTTCAACAATTTATTTCCTCTCTGTATATTGTTCACTAATAATTTGTTTTCCAGTTAATGTGCATTGTTTTAAATAAAAGAAATTTCCTTTTTTGGGATTTTTTTTCCCAGATGGGATTACATCGAAGTTGGAGGGAAAATATACAAAGACATGGATCGGATGGTTGCTTTTGAGAAGGCACTCACTACGTGGGCTGGCTGGGTGGACTCCAACATTCATCCTGGCAGAAATATGGTTTTCTTTCAAGGAATCTCCCCAACCCATTACAAGTAAGATTTTTAATAGCTTCATGGATAAATTACACTTTTGCCCCTTAATTATGTCTCATGTCTCATATTACTTCCTTAACTATCATGTTTATCACTTTATACCTCCACGTAAAGGAGTGAAAAGAGCAAGGACAGAGAGTCAATCTTAATGGTAATCTCACAATATTCATACTTCCAAATGATCAGTGGCTCCGATTGGAACGAACCAAGTTCAAAGGCTTGCTTGGGGCAGGAGGAACCAATATTGGGCTCAACATATGCAGGAGTTATGCCACCTGCTGTAGCAGTGCTGGACAAAGTGTTGAGCACAATTCAAAAACCTGTCAAGTTGCTTAATATAACACACCTTTCGCAGCTGCGAAAAGACGGACACCCTTCAATCTACGGCTTCAACGGTCCCACCGGGATGGACTGCATCCACTGGTGCCTTGCCGGAGTGCCTGATACTTGGAATCAAATACTTTACAATGCTATTCTTTAAATGCTTTATCTTCCTTGTTCTTAGGTTACTTTGTAGGATTCAGAAGAAGAATTTTAAGAGAATAATAGGATTGTAACTGATCTGAATTCTTTCATGTCCGAGAACTATTATTGATTACTACAACTGGGGTTGGTATACAAGTTTATACAATATGCATGGTTGTCACCACAATACTCCGCTGTCTATAAAGCACAAATATGGATACGATATGCTATAGATATAATAATACCGTAAAACTTTAAAAATATATATATGATACATATGTGTCCATGGTACATATAAGTGATTTTTACTTTCAAAGATGCATAGATAGTCTCGTTATAAGTGGGTTAGGTTGGTTATTAGTTGGGTTAAATTGAGTTGAATTAAAATAAGGGTTCTTTGGAAGCCGGTATACCTAATTAGACTTATTTGACAAAAAATAAACATTAAAAAACGTTTTGAAAAAAGGTACAATACTTGGGTGCAAAGACTTAAATGCCCTTTTTTATTATTTTTATTTCATTAAAAAATGTAATATTACAGTTATCATAACTGCTAAAATTTATGCTCCATTAATTCAAAATCTTTTCAACTTCCTCAAAAATCATAATGTATCTCTTTGTGTTCCAAGAAAAAAAAACAACTGCTCATTATTTCTCTTCCCACCAAACCGCTGGTCTGTATATCCATTCAAAGAAGGCGATTCATTTTCTTCCTCAACTGACTGTCGATGTACTCATACAAAGGGTGTTGAATCTCCATTGTTCATCAATTCAATAAGGATTCAAGTTACAAACGGTCGATCGATTGATAAAGGTTTTCTTAGAAGTGAAATTTTTCGACATTGTCATTTGAAGTGGATTTTTTCGGCATTGAACCCTTGTTACTTTGATCTTTGCTCGTTGTTTGCACTATGGTTGATCGTGCTTGGGTATTATGTGTTCGTTGAATGTTTTGATCGTCAAAATAGGTAATGTATGTGTGTATATTTATGTGTGTGTATCTATATATATATATATATATATATATATATTGTGTATTATGATAACAGGTCACCGAATCAAAAAATTTAGTACAATACATTTTTTTTTCATGTTTATGTAATTGTGTGTTATCATAATGGGTTACATTACACTTTTCATTTTTTTTTTGTCTCTAATTTCATGTATTGGAACCTTATTTTATTTGTTTGAATATTGAGAGACGAATAATGTTCATCTTTGTTGTTTTTTGGTCAAAAGCCTTTAAATTATGTTTTGTTTATACCATGAATTGTTGGATGTTGTAACCCTTATTCCTTGTTTAATAAGAATATGTTTTTTTTTCCACTATCATAATGGGTTACACAGTAAAAAATCAGTACATTACCATTTTTTTTCTTGTTTATTTTTTGGGTATTATCAACATGGGTTACAATACACTTTTTTTCTTGTTTAAATTCATATATTGGAACCTTATTTTATTTGTTTGAAGATTGAAAAACTATTTGGAAAATTGTGTTTCGTTACACAATTATTGATACTCTTTTATGTTGTTATATTGTTAAATTTACACTGAGTTTTTTTGTTATTTTAAAAAATTTGTGTGCTGTGAATGTTAACTGCCCGGGTTGTTTAGTGGCATGGTTGTTTGTTCTTATACTTTGTGATTAAACATTTTTAAGATTAAATGTTGATTGTATTAACTTCACAGAGTAATATATAAACTGTAACATGTAAAGGGTAACACATGAAAGTGTAACAAACTTACCAATATAATGTAACAAAATGTAACATTTTACCATCAGCTAAGGTTAGACATAAGGTAACATTTTACACTTTACACTTTCAATATTACATAAAAAGGGTGACACTATTATTGGTTCACTTATTTAGTTATATTTTGTTTTATGCTTCACTGAATTTGGTTATATTTTGTTTTGTGCTTTACTGATTACACTGTGTTATACATTGTTTTTGGTTCACTTTTAAATGTGTCATGCACTATTATTTGATTCACTCATGTGACTGTGTTATACAATTTTTTTTGGTTAACTTATTTGTTTATATTGTTATATTTTCAGTTAACCTTTTGGTATACTTTATACAAATTTTTTCTTTGTCACTTTCCAACTCAGAGTTGTGATGGGGGAAAAAAAATTGTGGAATTGAAACAAGATACTAAATACAGATCGAATTTGCTTGCGATAATTAGAGCAATAGATGAAATTAACATTAGTGAAGCACACAAGGTTGTTTTGAGGAAAACACCTTGTTGGTTACTATTTGAATGCATCATTGATAAAAAAAACTAGACAGGACATGGTGTAGGAATAGCAATACTATCATACAGGATGTAATTATAAGCTTTGATATTAATAAATCTAAATTTCACATTGGTGGGGAGGACATTAAATTGAGAAGGAGTGATGTGAAAATAATTTTTGTCATTGATGATGGACGTGATCCCATGGATTCTTTATCTCATGCTAAGGAAAATACAAAATTTGTTAAAAGGAGATTCAAGAAAGATAGCAAGTTAACATCAATCTTAATAAGGAGCAGATTATTTGAAGCAGCAAGAGGTATAAAAAAATATGACGTTGATGACGTTGCAAGACTCCTATGCCTATTCTTAATGGTAACACTATTTTTCGCACACATTGGGACATCTATAGGATGGGGATTTGTTTCATATGTTGAGGATATAGATGCAATGAAGAAGTACGATTGGTCAAGTGCAATACATAAATCTCTTATGTCTTCACTTCAAAGAAAGAGTAGCAGCTCATCTGGAGTTACTGGATGTGTAATGTTGTTACTGGTAAGATGTTAACAGCTTGGTTGTATTTCCAATATTGTTTCATGTTGTCCAATAAACATAATGTAACTCATTTGCTTATATTAATTTTGCATGTATGTGCAGTATTGGGTTTGTGAACATACAATAATTGTCAAGTCTGATAGTCCAAATGCAATACCAAGGATTCTGAAATGGAAACTGTCGGATCTTCAAAGAGCAATGAGACAAAGTACACTTGGAAAGTTGAAGTTAAAATATGTAAGTTGGTTAAATATAACAAATTTAAATTAATATATCCATCTTACATAATTTTTATATATTTTTTATGTTATCAAATAATACATTTGCATGATAAAACACTGTAATGTCACATTATAATGATACACTTGCATTTACACTTGTGTTAATTAATGTATACAATTGTATATTTTTAAAATCTTGCAAAGGTGTTGAGATATAGATTGAGTAGAATAGCAGAACAGAAAATTTTTCTGAAATATAAGGGAAGCAAAGATCAAGAAGTGGGCCAATCTGAATTTGAGGGAAAGATTGAAAGTGGTGAAGTTGAAAAAACATATGCACAGGTGGATGAAGAAGTTTTTGAGTGCGGTGGGAATAAACAGGCAGAACATGATATATTTCTTGGTCATGATGATGTTTTGTTGGATGCAATTGGAGGTGATGGAGATTCAAATATAGCATTTGAATCTCTTATTGATGCTGCAATGAACGAATCGACGCACAATGTTGATGCTGTAGGAGAAAAAGCAGACAGAAACACTCAAAGGCTTCAAGAAATATTGAAGAAAAATGATGTGTTCAAAATTGTTATAAGGAACATTGTCACAGATAAATGTTATTTGCAACATTCACATTTTGTTTCTGCTAGTGATGGGTTTGATAAACAGCACTCTACATTCGCATTAAAAATTCAAAAAAATGAGACGATTATAAATGAGTTGAATGAAGTTGTTGAAATTTTGAAAAAGAGGAAACAAATGTTTGAAGCGGAAATACAAGGTTGCAAGGAAACAATACAAAATCTAGAAAAGGAGAACGTTGAGTTGATTGATCAAATCAATGAATTATTTGTTCATTTTATAACCTAGAAATATCAAAAGGAAAACATTGCAGGTGAAGATCATGGGGGAAAGGAAAAAATAGGACAAACATCTATGGTCCAAAACATCAAGAAAAGAGACAAGAAACGAAATAGAGATGCAGAATTCGAATACAGTGGAAAAAAAAAAGGGAAAAATTCGATTGTGACGTCAGATATGATCAGCCGTAAAACCAATTTGAGTGAAGACAAATGTGGGAGAACAGTTGAGATTGTTGATGATAATGACAATAATGAAAAGATAACTACCATTCAAGAACTGACAGACAAAGAGATAAAAAAAATGTGGCGGGAGTGTGAAGCATTGGATGCCATTGATATCAACAAATTGACGACAATATATGATGAAGAAGGTTACGAGTAAGTGTCACTGTCAAGTTTGTCTACTTTGTTATTAAAAAATTGTTTATTACAATAAAATATATGACAAGTTTGCTTCCAATTTTTATGACATTGTAGTGCTCAAATATGGTCTGGGTTTGGTGTTGGAAGCGTTATATGTGGAGGATACTTTAAAAATAATGACACTTTCATACGAGCAATACAACAATGTACGTATTTGTTAAAAGTGTAACATGTAACTAAATTTTTTAGATATAAAGTGTTATTTGACAGTGTAACATAGTCTGTGTAGTGGAACGTGATATTTGTATTTTAACAGATCATTGATTGTTGGTCTGATATGCTAAAAGGAATTAATGATTATAATGAGTTGTCCACATTTCAAAGACGTTGCTACTTTATTAACAATCTTTGTTGGGTAAGATTTATAAATAGCACAATATACTACAAGTTTTTCAATTAAATTATTTGTCAGTTGTTTAACACCTTATAGTTTACATATTTTGAATGTGTAGTCCTTAGTAACTCTTCCAAATCTAGGGTATGCACGTGAAAAAGAAATAGATAGGCAGATACCAACATTCAGATATTCAAAATATGTTGTTTTCCCTATGAATTCAAATGGTCGGAAAGAAAATTTTCCTCCGGACCACTGGATTCTATTGGTATTAAATATTAAAGAAGGTGTCTGGACACATTACAACTCATTAAGGCTAAGGACGAAAGACAGCTAAGATATGTACCTAGAAGATGCAATCATATTAGTTTGATTATG